TCTCAGCAATCATCAGTCTCCAGGTCTCTAGATGGGGACGGCATGTCCCAGAGACAGCCTTCTGCCAAAAGTCTCACAGAGTGAGCAGCAGTTTTAGAATTAGAACCAGTGGGGGTAAAAGGAGACAGCTGAAGTGTTAGAGAAGAAATAAATTCTTCACAGCAATTAATTGATTAGAAGGAAAATGGAAACACAGGGAAAGACACACATGACTTCTACTGGCAAGAGATGTCAGCAACCTCAACCGTGAATTATTGGCACAGACGACCAGGGGGATGTGAAGAACAAAGACTGTGAGGAGCTAAACAAGGTAACCTGGTTTCACTGGAGAGGATGAGGCTTCCCTAGCAAAGGGAATGGACTGTTGCAGTAACTATGTGGGGAAGTTATATGATGTTCAGACTTTCTATGTTAAGCACAGTGTCAGTCACAGCATTATCTCCAGTATCTTCAACAAACATTATTAGCTGCAGCTGTTTCTGCTGCTACTCAATGCCCCACTCCCTCCACCCCAGCTGCTCGAGGTCCATCAAATGTGTTTTTCAGATTTTCTGAACAAACTACAAAATTATTATTTTCTGTGGCAGTTTCATTTTTCTTTTTGTTGCATGTTTAGGTCTCTTTTAAAGACATTTAGATCTTTTAAGTTTTAGAAAGGATACTCCTTATTTCATATCATATATGAAGTCTAACAAATAATCTCCAAATATCAAATGGAAAGTTTAAAAAACGTCACATCTACCCAGTGTCTCTCGTTGGCTACTCCATAGACCTGCTGTCATTTCTCATTATCCTTTTCTTATGATTCCACACACAAATCCAACCCAGGTGATTTGGTTCTTAAAGAAATGAATGTGAATTAATTCTGATGATCATAAATTTTAATGAGACAACACTTCAGATGCTCTCAGATGTTCCAAACGCAAAACTTATCTTCTCTGTGGTGAAACTGGAAATTCTCTTCTTAGGAAACCTTGATTGTTTCACCTCTGCTATTTTTTACATAATGAAACAATTTGCATATCAGCAAGGTCAGAGGGGACAGAACTGGAATCTCAGGCTCCTCATCTCCCTGCTGCTCCCACGTCAATGCTACACATTTCTCATTCCCTTTTGTTCATAAGTTTTATAATTTCACAGAATTACAAGTCATATAGCATGACATCAAGCTTGATCTTGTCATTTTGCTTGATTGTGCAAAATTACAGTCGTTCCAGAATGTTGACAGAATTCCTTTCAATATTTTCTCTGTTCGTTTATTAAGTGGCAATGTCATACTTAAAGAATGATCATTTCTGGGATGACTCATTCAAATCTTTGAAGACTGACATCCCATTAAAAATTCGTTTCTCCCAATCACCCTCTATTCTCTCTGTCTCCAGTACACTCAACATGTCAGAAATAATTATAAGTGGGTTAATATATACAGAAGCCATTTCTCTTTAATATTCCAGAATGAATGAATGTAGTATTGCTATGTTATCAGCTTTATTCTGGTTGGAAATTTACATTCAGTATCAGTAATATCTCATGAAAAAGTTGAAACCTGCTCTAATGTTTCCAATTTCTCTAGATCAGCCCTACCTTCAGACATCATTTGTTTCTTACAAATAATTATTTAATATTAATGGGAAAGGTCTTTCTTCCTCAAAGATGGCCCCCATCTTCTTTTGCTGCTTTTCATAGGAGGATGTCAAGGTAATGACTTTGCTATGTCACTTATTCACATTAGGGCAGCTTGTTTAAAAACAGATTTCTGATTAGAATTTTTTTTAAAAAGCAGGAGGTGATTATTAAGCCCATTCAGAGTTCTCTCTTATTTCACATTGCCTTTTTAGAGTGGGCACTGCCTGTTGTTTTTATCAGACAAAGGCAGAAAACTTGTTTTGTATCCAAGGTAAATGGAGAATGTCTATACCTGTATTTTTTTTCAAAGCTTACCATTCTTACCTATGGTAAAAGGCTATTACAAAGAGTACTACTCTATCATGGTCTGGCTTGTAGAATAAATAAAGCAGCCTCTACAAAAGGATGCATTCTGTGTACCTCTCTCCAAGTTGATGGAATGCAATGTATTATGGGAAACATTATCCCTTTGCACAGATAATCAGGATTACAAGTTTTCTGGATCTCTGGCTTGTTGGCTGATATTACCTGCTTGGACAAGCTCTAAAAAGAAACACTGCCAGGTGGGCCTACATGTGGAGAGGCCCAAGGCTTGCTGAAACACTCTGACGTAAATGCTAGGAGGGTAGTTTCCAACATGGCTGCGCCTTGATGGAAAAAGTTCTTGACTTGGACAGATGGACCTGTGTCTCCTCTTTGCCACTTATTAGCTATGTAGCTTTGAGCAAACCACTTATGCTTCCTGAGGCTTATTTTATAAAATACTGGTAATAATGCCTTTGGGGGCTCATATAATAATTAATTAATGTATGTGACAATGTTGGCTCATAACAAATTATCAGGCAGATGCTTGGCATTATTTTTCTTAAGTAATTACCTAAAGCTAACAAGCAAGTCAGTCAAGATCATGTATATCAAACAGAAATCTAGAGGAAATGTGTATATAACATAACCACACTTGCTCAACACTAGGAATAGGAATTTCTTCTAATGAAATATTACTGTGAGTAAAATTTAATCTTATGTATCTATCATATGTATAGGTAACCAATTTTCAGTGAGTGGAAATGCAGTAAAATACTCAAAAACTGCATACAGAGTAGACATAAATTAATACTTTTTAATAATTCAGGAGGCATTTCATTGTCTTATTGTACCTAAGGGTCATAATTATGATTATCAGTGGCTAATTTACCAGATAAATGGATGGAATGCAAATGACTCTATGGTATAACTGAGAATAAATCTTTGGAATTAATCCATGCTATCCATTTTTAATATTCACAGGTCTCTATTTCAAAAATGCAGCATGACTTCAATCATTCTAAGTTATCTGATCTGAGCTTTTTGATGATTTGTATTCTCCTAAGGGGATGTTAACCTCAGCACAAATGTCCACATTCTAACATATCACCAAGCATTTTGCCCAAACATAACGCCTTGTGGGTAGTGTTCAAGGCTGGAAGCCTTCTACATGCCTGACCCTGATCCACCAGGTGTGGAAAGAACAGCAAGAAGTAACTGCTGAAAGGGGAAATAGAGAGGAAATAATAAGCTCTGTGCTGACTAATTGATGAGACTGTCAAAAAGATGAAAGGAATTAAAAGCTAAGGAAGACTCTGTAAATTATATGGCACTAGAAAAGTCTAAGGTATTATTATAATTATTGCTATTAATAGTCTTACTCAGTTTACAATGGAAGAGTTATATATAGCTTGAAAGAGAAGAGCTCTTTTCCAAATGATGATACATTTATTCCTTCATCATCCAATTCTTGCTCTCTCAGCTTATGTCTCAGCCAATGTGAGTGACATGTATAGTCTATCCTTGTTTTCTTCTGTTTTTATCATAGTTTGACACAGTTGAAATAGATGGGAAGATCTTGCAGAGAAAAAGGCTGCAAGCAAATTCTGAAATTTCAAAAATAGCTGTCTCTGAATAGTAAAAAGGTTTCGGCACATAGGAAGCTAAAGATGCTCTTGTTAATATGGCTAAAAGCATGTAGCAATTATTGCAGAATGGTAGAATATTCTAAAAGCTCAGCATCTGCACACTATATCTGTTAGGATGTCATTGTCACAAAAGGCAGATACATGTCAGAATGATCTCCGGTTCTGAGCTTGGCCATCGGAACTGTCTACTTGAAATAAATAAATCTGCATATGTGAGTGAGCGTGCATGTGCAGGCATAGCTCTTATGGTTGTATTGCTATAGACACACCCATTCACACAAAAATATATCACTGTAAGAATTGAGGACATATTTGGCAGAGGGCTATAAAACTCCATCGACAATCATTCATAAATCACTTAAAAGTAGAACTAGATTAATAAAGGTAGATATTCATTTCCCCACCACAAGAAGAGCTATTTCCATCTCCTTAATTAACTAATACAAGTATCTTTAGCGTATAAGCAAAGCACAATCCATAGTGCTTAAAGAAGAAAGAAAGGAATGTATAAAATGGTTATATAAAGGGCAGTACAGTAATAAAGAGAATGAAGGAGGTTTACATTGGCTAGCATGGAATGATACATTATATATATTAGGTCAAAAAGCAACTTGTAGAACGTTAAGTATAATATCGTCCCACTTGGGCTTTACATACACACAAAGACAAGTGTACTTAAAGAAAAAAGTGTAAAATGACAAAAATCAATTAATAGTTCTTCTGGGAAAAGAAGTAGAATTGGGGAGGGCGGAGGTACAGTTCCTTTTCACTATTTAAATTTCAATATAGCTATTATTTTTACAATTATTTTTTAAAGAAACGAAGGAGATATACGTCATAGCACCTCCACATAGAGAACACTGAGTGTAATTACAAGCTTTTTTTAATCATCGAGTCTACCAATTTCTGTTGGTCACATTGTTCTGCAAAATAAACATTTTTTAATTGAAGGACATAGAATCTTTTCTGGCTTACGGCCACTTACCCTTCACAAGTACTTCCAAAGCTTCATCCAGGACATTATGCTCATGTTAACCTCAAATCTAAGGAATAGAAAATACTAGTAAATCCATCTTGCTCTCAGCCCACATTCACCACAAAAAGAATGTTCCTTCTTGTTTTTAACTGAACAGATTTAAAGCACTAGAAATAAAAATTGTACCCTACTTTTTAAAAACCTATCTATACATGCTTACACAAAAACCTCCATGAGTAGCTGTTTCGGAACACGGGCTTAGGTGAAAGCACATCCCACTTTCACCATCATCAACCACGTGGTTCTTTAGCCCTTTATCTGTGCAACTAATATGGGAAGCTTTGAAATAACAGAGCACAAAGGGCCAAGAAACTAAAAATTCAAGTCTCATATTTTGTCTACAATATTATCAAACTGACAATAACATACAGTGCCCTAGTCATTCATTCATTCATTTGAAAATATGACTGTCCCATGAGCCATGCACCTGGTCATAGTGAGAGTATAAGACAAATTCTCATCTATTTGCTCCCCTCAAGAAACTTACAGTTGTGTAAGCAGGAACTTCAAAAATAGAAAAAATCTTGGGTGGTGCTTGGCATGAGGGGCCTCTGGGTTCCTCTGCACTAACCACCCCCATAAACAAATAAATAAAAATGTGGGAAAAAATCTTAAAGAGTATCAATTTTTTCTAATCTTTGAGAAATTCCTGTATTTGTCTTTGATATAACCTACAATTTTACTTGTGATGGAAGTAAAGCATAAACATTTATTTCCATGATGTCAAAAATCAAAACAAAAAAAAGTTACTAATGGAAGTAATGAGGAGTAATGGGAAGCTACATGGAGGGCTGGCAAACCATGACCAGTGGCCTAACCCAGGCTGCTGCCTGTTTGTATCAATAAAGTTTATTGGAACACAGTCACACTCTTCTCTTTAGGTATTGTCTCTGACTGCTTTTGAGCTACCACAGAAGAGATGAGTATTCATAATAGACCTCATATTCTCCACAAAAACTAAAATACTCACTAAACTAGCTAAGTAAAAGTTTGCCAATCCCCAAGATGTTAATAAAAACTGGACAATGTACTTAAAACCTGGAATGTACTTTTTGTCTATTTTCCATTTTGTTGTGTGCTTTTGGGAAACTTTGGTTTCCAAAGGGATTCCTTAAGGCATGTATGTTTGTTCCTTCTCTGATATTAGGAGGAACAAAAAGAGACAGTGAATAAACAGTGTTGTAAAACATAGGTTGAGGGAATTTAAATTAAAAATAGAATGACTTTACAATGTTTGTAAATCTGAACTTTGCCACTACATTCATGTTCGTGTTGGCCAAGGGCTGAAATTTTGAGATGGATGTGGAAAGAACAGCCTGAATCAAATGAGTAAGATCACAATGGGGCTTATTTAGTCAGTCTTGGAAATATTTATAATATCATGAGTACTGCCCAAATTTCTGAATGTCCCAACTTTATTCTAAAAAGAATCTGGCCAAAACATTTTTTAAAAATGTTTCAGCTAAATTTTCATAAAACACTTGCACGGATGGAACAATGAAGACTACTGCCAAAGACGCTCCAATTTAATTCTGCCTGGCACATCAGCCAGGCTTGTTTGGCATTTCATTAACAAAAAATAAACCTCACTCTTCTTCCTGAGAAAATAGCATGTGTAGTATTTTTGGGGACAGCAAAGCTCAGCATGCTATTTCTCGATATGAAAAAAATATATCTGAAATGTGGATAAATAAAGCTTTTAAAAGACTTTCTTTGGCATGGTAACTGGCCACCCTGGGAAATCCGTGTTCTTAGTATGTGACTGAATAAAGCTAACATAAAATAGACCTTTAAATGTTTAAAAAATCACAGAGAAAGAAGGTAATAAAATAGTAAGAGGATTGTTCTGGAAACAGAAAACAGATTCTTGTGACACTTTGACACTATGATGCTCCAGGCAAGCCAATAACTTCATCTTCTTTAATTTTAGCCTCTTTTTGGAGTAAAATATACATAAAGTATGGATGTCATAAGAAAAGATAAAAGATACTTGTATCTGTGACTCATTTGCTCTTCCTCAGAAGAAACGAAAGAAAAAAATTAAAAGTTAAAAAAATATATAAATGCATCCTTACATGAACAGCTTCACGACTCAATTATCAGCAGTGGAACAGACAAAGATCATTCCAGTTCTGCGCCAAATTCTTATTCAAGGAAGTCTGAATTTAGTTGAAGAAAATAAGTTGCTAACAGCTATCAATGGACTGAATAGCTCAGGTTAACACAAACTGGATACTGATATAATCAATATAATGACTGGATTATGTACGGGGTATTGATGAGGCTAAGGTTAGCTGGATGGGAGTGGGGACAGGACACATAAGGGAAAGATTCTTGGAGGAGGTGATACACTTGTGTTGACTGAAGAAAAAGTAGGAGTGGGCCAGGAAAGAAGAGTGAGAAGAGACTTAGAGGCAAAGTAGACAGTATGTGCAAAGAAATAATATGGTTCATGTGTAGAATTCCAAGCTGTTGCATGTAGCTGGAAAGCAAAGTGCAAGACAGGAAATTGTTAGAGATAAGACTAGAAAGAGGGAGGAAGGAGCAGATTTAAGGCTAGAATTTAGCTTAGGAATATTTTGTACTTTATCTGGCTGAGTAGGGAAACACTAGAGGGTTTTAAGCTTGCACACAGCAGGTCTGCTTTGGGTTGTATGTTAGGTGGATTGCATGGTGACAAGGCTAATGGAAGAAAGGTCATTTGTATGGTGCAGATGTCCAAGCAAGAGACGAAACATCAGAAGTAGCAGTAGTTCTCAACTACAACAGTGGTAGTGATTGTGAGCCTTGCAGATGGATTCACAAAATATTTAGCATGAAAAATTAGCAGTTCCCTAATCCCAGCACTTTGGGAGGCTGAGCGGGGCAGACCACGAGGTCAGGAGATCGAAACCATCCTGGCTAACATGGTGAAACCCCGTCTCTATTAAAAACAGAAAAAATTAGCAGGCGTGGTGGTGGGCGCCTGTAGTTCCAGCTACTCAGGAGGCTGAGGCAGGAGAATGGCGTGAACCCGGGAGGCAGAGTTTGCAGTGAGCCGAGATCACGCCACTGCACTCCAACCTGGGTGACAGAGCAAGACTCTGTCTCAAAAAAAAAAAAAAAAAAGAAAAGAAAGAAAAATTAGCAGTTCCTGGTACCGGGTTTGATATGGAAAACAAAAGTGGGCAAAAAAGAGCCAAAAGTGAGTCTTAAGTTTCTAGTTTGGATGAATGAGTGGACAGTGATGCCACAAAATGAGACAGAGAGCATAGAATGGGGAACCAGGTTAAGGAGGATGATGATGAGGTTAGTTTGCACATGTTAGGTTGGAGGGTGCGTGTTGGATATGGCAAACGGTTGGATATTTGAGTCTGAACTGCAGACAAAAGACTGGGCTACAAATAAAATGTCTGAGTAACTGCAAACCATGGTGGTGGATGAGAGTACTGAGGGAAAGTGTACAGGGCAAGAGCAACAGGCTGAGGATGAACCCAGGGGAAGAGGAAGAAGAGAAGTCCAGGAAAGAGGCGAAAAGGCATAATTAGAGGACCACCCAGAGGGTATGGTACGGTGGAAGCCAGGGGAATGGACAACTTTCAGAGGGAGGGAGGTATCAATGGGGTCAAATGCACAGAGAGATCTAGGAAAGAATTATAAAGCCCATTGGATTTAGCAATTCAGGAATTACTGGTTCATCAGTAGTGAGGCAGGAGCAGAAGCCAGATGCTGGAAATTGTAAAACAAAGAAAAGGCTGGACACTGTGGCTCATGCCTATAATCTCAGCACTTTGGGAGGCCAAGGCAGGAGGATCATTCGAGGCCAGTAGTTGTAGAATAGCCTGGGCAACATACAGAGAGCCTCATCTCTACAAAAAATAAAAATAAAAGAATTAGGCAGGTACAGTGGTACGCGTGCCTGTAGTCCTAGCTATTTGGGAGGCTGAGGTGGGAAGACTGCTTGAGCCCAAGAGTTTGAGGCTGCAGTGGGCTATGACTGTGCCACTGCACTCCAGGCTAGGCAACAGAGTGAGACCTTTTCTCAGGAAAAAAAAAAAAAAAAAAAAAGGAGAAGGGACAGTACATCATAGTTACAGGAGGTTCGTCTGGGTATAAATAGCTTTGAGACTTTCCTGGCTCTGTCACTACCTAGCTGTGTGACCTTAAACAACTCCTTTTTCCGAGTTCAGCCTTCCTTACGACAATAAAATGAGATGCTTCCACTTCATGGTTTCTTCTACCAGAATTTCCAGTTAAGAGAAGACTACAGATAATTTAGTTGTACTTTCTACAGTGTAGGAAATTAAATCAAAATACGATTTATAGATACTGAAGCAAATATTGAGTTCTCAGGTCATAAAATTATGGTGTACATCTTAGCAAAGAAATATCTACTGATAATAATTAGGAACACTAGCTATACAAAGAGCCTGTTCGTTTTCAAATGAAAAGCTCATTTGAATTACACAATATTTTCCTTCCCTTTCAAAGTCCAATACCAAGTGTTTGATGACAAATCAAAGCAGAATTGTTCCAGCCTTAGTACATATGCCACTGTCTCCAAAAGCAAAGTCAGAAAGACAATTTCTGGAGACAAATAATTCATTTCTGTTTCTGCTCTATTCACAAGAAGGATATAACCACAGCTGAGATTCAATCTGACAGTCAGTCATACCAAGTCTATGGATTTCTTTACCACACAGATTGCAATTTCTCCTTGCAGTGTCTCCCTAGACAATGCTGAATAAAATGACCTCAAAGAACTGGCAGAGGGGAACTATACAATTAAAAAGTGCTTTTAGCTTTATATAAATTTAAGCAACACATACTTGTGATCCTGAAGATAAAATGGAATAAATCACAGTGCAAAGAAATAACCTTATCCTTCCTCTTCTTCATTCCAGAGACAGAAGAAAAACCATGCAATAAGTATGTTTGGTCCCTTAAAGGTTTGCTGGGATCCTACATATTCTTACTCAGTCCTGCTCTATGAGTAGCTTTTCTATCAGAGAAGCAAAACCTATAACCAGTTGTTTTTAATTTTTTTCTATCCTTTAATGTTTCTGAATCCTCCTCTCCTATAGTGTTAAATTGTGCTGATGTTGTTATTTTGTTTTATATAATCTTTTACAACTATTAAATTTATCCTCCTTTTTGGTTTTCACGTTGTAGCTATAGTCTCAGTCCTGGATCTGTTGCACTCTCACCTGGATTATTGTGGCCTTTCCTATCTGGTCTTTTGATTTCTGAAAATTAAGATTCTTCATCTGCCTTTCCATGGCTTCAAGACTTCATAAAAAAGACTATCATCAATACTCAGCAGGACTGCTAGGGTTGCTTCCACTGCTTATCCATGGACCTCACCACATCTACTTCCTCCTTAGGTTTCCACATTGATACTTGATATTGTTGGCTTTCCTAACTTCGAAGCGCATGTGGGCACCTGACTCCGCCCCATCCACTATGTCTCTTAACCCTCCTTAGTCTGCCATGTTATTCTCAGTCAAGTCACCTCCATACCCTCATCATCTAACCATTCCTATTTTATTTCTAAACCTTCCCCTGAAGTGTGTCCTGAGTCTTTAAATCACTTAATCTTCCACCTTCCTTTCCTCAGTAATGCCTGGCTCTAGAATTCCATAAGAAGCCCATCTTTGCTGGCAACTTCTGGAAAGCAAATATCCCTTAGTTGCAATTTCTGAAGTACACACCATTCTTTCCTCCATTCCTTTTTTAATACCCCAAATTACCCTATGATTTGAATATTTTATGTCGTTATGACTTTAGTAGTATTTTCTAATTCCAAATGTATTATATCTATATCTCTTTTTTTTAGATCTTCAACCCCTCAAGTGCAGGTATTGTATAACTATAAATCAGCCTTTTGGAGTACTGTCCAGATACCATTTTGAAAATGCAGAAATTTTAATGGCGATAATAAAATAGAAAGTATTACGCAAATTTGCCTATTCTTCCATGAGGACATGAATGAACAAATCATTTTGGAAACCACATAGCTTGGCTCTATCAGTTCCCCAGTGGGCCTTGATAGCACTAAGCCTATTTCTTACCTTGCTCTCTGTCCTGTGGAGCTAATCCAACCATAGACTTGCCTTTGAAGTCCACTGGAACATCATGCATGGGTGAGCTCCAGAGAGCACACAAAAGCAAGAAAAGAAAACTGACATGTTATTCTTAACCAGAGGGACTGTGCTATTTCCGAGTTTCTATACACACTTGGACATCCCACAGACTTCAAGAGCCTGCAGATGAAGCAGGAGAAGAAGTTGAAGTTATCAGTGTCCTGCAAATGGGCAGCAGATGAAGCCACAGTGGAATGAAAGTTTTAAATTCCAAGTAAATCATTCTTTTTTTTATTCTTTATCCAGAGTCATACAATCACAAATATAAAATTCTTTTAGGCTATAAAATGACTCCCTGAGAATGTCAAGTTCTTCTGCAAATGGCATCCACTCTTCATCTAAGGTATAAAAATTGCCTTGTAGACTAGCATTCAATTCCATGCAACAGACATTTATCCAGAATCTTTACTGAAAAGGAGTTGTGCTCATCAAGATGAGAGCACCATCAACATCTTCAAAAAGAAAAGCATAAAGCAGCTCTCATAGCATATAGTCCTCCACAGCCACTTAAAAGCACACTCTCAAACAGCATCAGTATGTGATGCAGCAACATGGGTGAAATAGAAATTACAGCTTTAACACTGCAGTATTAATACTTTAGTATATCTCTAATATATACCCAAGGGCTTAAACTAAATCACATGGGGGAAACTATATTTATTAAGTATATATTTTTGGACCCTGCGCGTCCTTTTCTAAAAACAAATTCTACTGAAATAAGAGAATCAACAAGAGGACCCACTACTTAACAACTATGTATGTTCTTGGGTGTTTTTTTAACCTCTCTAAACCTCTGTATAGTAACTTGTAAAGTGTGAAGGATCATAATGCTTGCCTTTAGTCCATGTGAAAATGATGCCTGACATGTGGGAAATGGTTAAAAAAATTACTAAGGTGGGTATTATAATCCTTATTTTACAGAGGAAGAAACTGTGTTTCAAAGATACTAAGCAATTGGTCCAAGGTCGTAGTAGTTCTGGAATTTTAATCTAATTTGGTTTGACTCCAAAGGCTGTACTCTTCCACAAAGGTTGCTGCTTCTCTTATGGTCCCAAAGTGAAAAAGAAAAGACGACATCAGCTGAGATCTTCCAAATACCATCAGACATAGATGCCTATATTCCAATTACCTTCTCTTGAAAGTGTAAGCTCAGATATTAGAATATTCGACCTTCAAAAGCCTTCCAAGGCCCTCAAATCACAGGGTACAAACTCCAAGGTAAAAATGGCTGAAACCACGACTGATCAATTTAGTCTAGAAAAATAAACATGCACCTGAGAAGTAGAAACTCACTGATTACTGACAAGATATGAATTCACCAGAGGTGCAAGAAAATAACTTTGTGCTGCTGGACATTGACTGTGATGCAGCGCTGCAATTCAGATTTCAAGTTTAAATATTTCAAGATGAAAGCTAAGGAGATGTATTTGTTTTCAGAAGCAACATTACTCAAAATACGTTGGCTACATTATTGGAGAAAAGACAGAAGGCAATGAGCAATTTATGCCAAAGTTACATTATTATGAATGAGTACACTGGAGATGAACCAAAGAGGTGTACCATCTCCTAACAGTAAGTATGCCTACTCTCAAGCATATTTACTTTAGAAGGACGACACTAAAATTAAATTGGAAGAAGACATTGGACATTATGATCATTATGATCCAGCAAGTGAAAGTGAAACTGGGAATAGCTGAATCTGCAATTCAATAAAAACAATTTTTTCCACATATTTTCTTTCAACTCTTCTGATTTCTAAATTTAACCATATACCATATTTTCTCAATATTATAATCCTTTGGCCTTCTCAAGGTTTTTTGTTTTGTTTTGTTTTGTTTTTTGGCTTCTTTTTTCTTCAAATTGTGTGAGTCTTAATGTGTATTTTTAAAGGTGGGTCAGATACACTCTCTCTAAATACCTAATCTTCAAGCTCTAAATCACCCAGAGGAAAATGAGGGTGGTGGAAAGGAGAAGAAATTCCACCGAAGAATTTCTCGACCACATCTTTTACATTGCATGGAGTTCAAAGGTGTCTTCTGCAAATGGCTATCAAAATGAAATACAGCTCAGAGCAGACAGCAGTGAGAGGAGTTCCTTATTTGGGAGCACCAAAGGCATTCACAAGTCACAGGGAGAAGGTGTGTAGCACCTCTGCTGTCATTATCTGTTTAGACAAGTGGATGGCGAAACTTGCTTCCCAAAGACACTGAGAATTGAGAGTGGCTGCATCCAGGAGTGGGTCTCATTAAGCAGCCTTCTTTCTGATTTTCTCCATGATGTGTCTAGTATAAGTCCCTTCACATAATAGGATCTCCAGGAAAATTGGTCCTTTGCTACATCCTCTCCCTGCCCCCAATAAAAGGGCATCTGTCTTCCACAGCTCACAGAATACCATACACTGTCAATAAGAAATATCTGCTAGGAATGTGTACTTTTTAAGCCAATTCTTCCCTTCCCTGGGCAGAGAAGCCAGAAATAGTCAAGGCTCTTTTCTCTACATCTACAAAACACAAACTCCACTAGAGAAAAGAAGAGAATAATTAAGTCATTATTAGGCCTTTGCTTTTCAACACACAGGTAACTAAGGGCAAAAATGTCAAGGTTTTTAAAGTGAAGTTTTCCAATTCTTTTTGGCCTGCTAATCTTTGGCTTTCCTGGAAAATGGTAATGAACATGCATACAAAGTTGTTTTTCCTTAAAATCGTAAACTTTCATATTTGAGATAGAAAGCGAGAATTGAACCAATACCAAAGCTCTTTGCTTAATGTTATATTTTGTTTGAAATAGTGTTTTTATCTATGTGGGTAAATGGTATAATATATCTGCCAGAGAATGAAGCTATGGGCAGGGCTTTACACATCCTGAGATGTGAAAGACAGCTTTGAAAAGTTTTCCATCACATAGAATGTGTTAGCCTATCTTCTCAAGATAGTGAGGAAGTTGACAAATTTCAGAAGATAGGCATAAGCAATGATGTAAACTATTTTTAAAATATTTCAATTTACATTCATGTCCAAACTTTGGAAGACTATTGCAAAGTTAAATAAGGGCACCAATAAATCCACTAAGCCCCCAGTCTTCGATACACATACACGTATTTTACTATAAACCTTCAATAAAGAAAAATATTTGTAATTTTTAGACAGTTGAATTAATCACTAACAGGATGACGTAGTTACTTTTTTTAAGTTTTTATGAAATGAAAGCCTTATGTTTTTGCTGATGAAATCAATTGAAAATTCTAAAATCCATTTCCAAGAATTAGCCTTTATTCTGAATATTCTCATTATTCTCACAACAAATAATCTGAACCTATATTCTGAGCCTGAAAGTTATATTTGATGGTTAATACTGCTTTCTACCTGTGCAGAAATAGCTTTTCCCTTCACACTACTAAAGTATGATTGCTAACAGTAATTTCATTATATTATTCAATTAGTTCTTCAAGGTTTTCTTTTCTCTCCAATTCTACTACAGTTGACGAGAGAACGGTTATATTTTCTCCTTTTATAAAATCCTTCACAGTGCCATTAGCAACATTGTTCAGATGAGATAATTAGGGAAAAAAACCAATTGAATGATTGAGTGAATGAATGATTGAAAATCTTTCCAAAGTTATAATAATAATTGTAATTATTGGGGTCAAAGAGAAACCATTTTAGTCTGAAAGATTATACACTATACCGACTTTTACCCAATTTGGAATGAAAAATTAAATTTCCAAACCATGTAGAAATTCTGAACTCTTTGAAATATTTTGTTTTGTGGGAAAGAACCAGAAATTCTTTGCCATATGTACCCATCTATCTTACTGTAGTTACCCAACCGAAAGATAAAATAATACTACGAAAGAGATAATTGACTGGAGGAGTTTAAAATGCTTATAAATATTAGAGATCCAATCAGTAAGTAACTGAGTGAATTGTCGTGGACTGGACTGCATCGCCCTGAATCAGCAGGATTCAAGTGAGGACTACTCGACTCTGGATTCGGATCTTCCTAGCACTTTAAAAACATCAGGTTTAAAATAAAATAGATCTGAGTCTTTAAGGTGATCCGCCTGGTTATACTGGCATTCTGCACTATACCATATTCTTACTTGTCAAACTGTTTCCCTGGATTGAATATAAGCACAACATCTGATGAGAGTCAATGTATGTCTCCTATTTCCATTACGTAAGTATATACCTTCTAGATGACTTCCTCACCACTTGAAAGTTACACCATTCTCAATATTTTTTAAAATTAAAATTAAAAGCTGCTAACACAAAACTATTTCTGTAAATGTCACCAAATGGAATTTCTTTTAAAGATCAACAGCATCATCATACAACATGCCTAAAAATGGAATGGTATTATTCGTGCGTCACTTACAGCCTTTCACATATTAAGTCCGCAGCCAACTAACAAAACAGAGGACTCCAGGAGCTTTTTAAAAAAATCTTTTAACCAAAGTGAGCTGTGAATTTAGCATAAAAGTATCTTCTTTATGCTTGTATGTTCAAATTAACATGCAATGTCCCCAAATTTGCATAATATGAATTCAAGAGGAAGCCAAAGGATTTATCTTCACAGTGACAAAACAAGCCGTTAATACAGAGAAAGAAAATCTTCAACCAACTCAACTGATGGAGACTGTACGAGAAAACTGGCTGATTAAATATTTCCCTTTCCAACTGCATGTTGTGTGTTCTTGTGGCAAATCACAGAGGCTAAATATTGTTCTCCATTTGCTACTCTCATTGTGCACCCAGGTGGCAGCGAGATACCAACAATTACACACTGTAGCTAAGTGCCAAGGTTCATGTCGGAAATTAGTGTCAAAATGAAAGCACCATAGAAAGTTAGGGTTAAAGGGGAGCCCAGCTCATCCTCTGCATTTTACCGACGTCAACACAGCATGTGATAAGCATTTGGAGCACAGTTCGTTTCTGGAACTCTCATGGACTGTTCAGCTACTACTACTACAAGACAGACTGTGGAAATATCTCTTGTTTCTTAAAAGCAGGACAACTCAAAGCCTTATGGCCAAAGCTTTATGCTCACTTGTCTCCACTAGCAGGTAGGAATTCTCAAAAACGGGGCTGCTTCAGCAGGGTCCTCCCATATAAGTTCATTCACTGGTTTAAGAAGCAACTTTTCTAGCTTGCTTCACCCAGGAAAATTAGCACATGCTACACATATATTATGCAAAAGTAATGCCTCCTTGAAGGAAGCCCTATCTATGTTTATATCTATGTACATTAATCTGGCTCTTACAGCCAGTAAAACAGCCTTACAGCAGAGGTCAGATGTAGTAGTTGATTTTTTTAAATATCCACATGGATTTTCCTATAAAGTAAAATTTCTATCTTAATAACTTGGTTGGAGTGTTCATAAAAATACAGACACATATCTCTCTTAAGATTTCAAGGCTACACCTTTGCATATAATCAAGCAAAAAAATATAATAAAATTAACCACAAGTACTGTTTATTGATACAGGAGATTTGCACTAGGAGTTTGAATGTTGAATTTGGCTTTTATTGAAAATAAAAACCCAACATGAGGTATTAGGTAATAAAACTTTATGATGGTTAAGGAAATGGCTCTTTTTTGAGGAGTGGTGGGTGGTCAGCAACTTTTATGGTACTGAAATATGTCCCAGGAAATAGAAAAATAATCATTTACAGTGTAAAACAGCAAAATCAACTTAGGGTTAACAGCATTGTAGGCCTGAATTGTGATGGAAAACACACAAACACAACACAATTGCACTTTTCCTTAGAAACACCAGAATGTCCATTCTATATCAAATGTATTAATATAGATAAAAGTGACAATCTATTCCAGGAGGAATCAAAAATGTATTGCATATATTAATATGTTCCTTAATGATATCTCTAACCCTAATATAAATATATAAAGACATTTAAAGGCCTTAGGATATGATTTTAGGAGTATTATTTTCTCCTTCCCTGTAAGCTTTCCTCCATTGTCATTCTCTTCCTCCTCACTCCCCTTCTCCTCTTTTCCTGGCCCAAAACATGTATGAACTGCATACCCTATGTGAGGCACTATGCTAGGCAGTGGGGGCTCTTACTTCCTAGTCTTCAGGTCCTATCTTTTTAATAGTCTTTTCTTATTTCACTGCTAGGTCCCTGAACTCTTAGCCAGTATGTCAGTTGGGCACACCTACAAACATAGACATGGTAAAAAAAAAAAATGTGGAGGATCATCTCGCCTTGAATAATCTTAGTTGTTACAAGTGCCATGTGTCAAATAATCAATGCAGATAAAAGAATTTGGGGATTTTATTTCTAAGACACGCTTCCTCAGGGCCAGGGGCTTTGACACGGACATTGAAGGTTGGAAGTCTTTGAGAAGGCAGTGGCAGAATTATTTCAGGTGCAGGAATGGCCAGAGAAAATGCAAGACAAACTTTGTGGGGGCAATGAGCAAATCAGCCATACAGTGTAGAACATCCCTATTTAGAAATAGACAATGATACAGTTGGAAAGAAAGACTGAAGCCAAATAGTATAAGATCTAAAAAGGTTTGACATTTTAAAATTGTATCCTGTTGGCTCTGGGGAATCCCTGAATGCCGAAGAAAATAACATAATAAAAGTGTCAAGGTAGTTATGAGGCACCTGTATTCTCAGGGCATTGACTTAGGCAATAAAGTACAGGGTTTTAAAGCCTATTCTAGCCACTGCTTTATTCTGAACATCTTGAACAAGCCTAGGACATTGTAGAGGCTCAATAATATGTGTTGAATATCAA